GCGAGGTCACGTGGGGCCTTAAAGGGCCCCGGTACCGGGAACGGGAACGGGGCGCGCACGTGGCTCCCCCCCACTGGGGACCCCCAAAAAAACCGGGGACACCCCCCCTATACACACACACCCCCCCCCCAAAAAATCCGGGAGCCGCCAGCTCGGCATCCCCCGGCTGCGGGCGCGCACGGCGGGAGCCGCCCCGGTGGGACCGGGAGCGTTCCCGGTTTTCCGTGGAAAAGCCCCGGCGCGGCTGGAAGCACGGCAAGGCGGAAAGGCGGGCGGATTCCTTGGGCCGGCGGGAAGTTGACGCAGCTGCCTAAGAATAGCTCGGGCAGCGGAGGGAGCCCGGGGCGGGCAGGGCACCGGGAATCGCGGCGCGATTCCCGGGATTCGGCGGGGGAAGGCCGGCGGGGTGGCGCCCCGCTGCTACCGAGCTTGCTCTGTGGTTGCGTTGCAGCTGCTGATGAAATCGCAGCCGGGAGCGTCGCAGGCTTTGGACCTTCCCAGGCTCGGGACCTTTGACTCATAAAAGGAGCAGAAAAGGGCGGAAAGCGCCGGGAGAGCGGAGGAGGAGGAGGAGGAGCAGGAGCTGAGGAGGAAGAGCAGAGCCCGGAGCTGCGGGGGACACCGAAAGTCGCTGCATGAGGAGCTTTGGGACAGTAAGTCAACAGGGAATCGGGGATTCCAACTCTCCGCCCGGCATAAAAACAAAAGTCAAGGCGAGGGTGGAGCTGCCGGGGCAGCTCCCTCCTTTAAACTCTGATTATCTCCGCTTCTCCGCGCTCCAATTTCCTGATTTTTGCACAGGAAAACCGAGCTTCGTTGAACTAAAAACCTTTTGAGCGTTCTTTAAACTTTTCTCCCGGTTTTTAGCTGTGCCCTGAAGGGCAGAAACTGTTTGAAAGTGGGGCAGAGCAAAGCCAAACCCACCCAACCTGTTGTGGAGGCTGCGCCTTCCCTCGTTCTCCATCCCCAACCTCACTCTTTATTTTTTATTGACTTTATTTTGTTTTCCCCTCCACCAGAGATTCTCTTTCCAAAGAAACATTTTACAGAAGGCCTGATCCAGCTCACCATCCTGTTTCCCTCACTCTCCATCCCCAACCTCAGACTTTGTTGTGTTTTTAATTAATTTTATTTTGTTTCCTCTGCCCCAGAGTTGCTCTCCCTGAAGAAATACTTCCAGCTCACCATCCTGCTCAGCCTCACTCGCCATCCCCAGACTTCGGTTTTTATTCACTTTTATTTTGTTTCCTCTCCCCCAGAGATGCTCTCCTGATCCAGCTCACCATGTTGCTCAGCCTGTTTGTCCATCCCCAACCTTTGTGATTTTTTGTTATTAATTTTATTTTGTTTTTCTGTCTCTGAAGAAACTTCAGGGAAGGCCTGATCCAGTTCGCCATCCTGTCTCCCTCACTCTCCATCCCCAACCCCAACCTTTGTTGTGTTTTTTATTCCCTTTATTTTGTTTTTCCTTCTCCAGACAGAGATGCTGTCCCTGGAGAAACATGTCAGGGAAGGCCTGATCCAGCTCACCATCCTGCTCAGTCTCATTGTCCATCCCCAGACTTTGGTTTTTATTCACTTTATTTTGTTTCCTCCCGTAGAGATGCTGTCCCTGAAGAAGTACTTCATGGAAGGCCTGATCCAGCTTACCATCCTGCTCAGTCTTGTTTCCCATCCCCAACTTTTGTTTTTTATTCACTTTATTTTGTTTCCTCCTGCAGAGATGCTGTCCCTGAAGAAGTACTTCCAGTTCACCATCCTGCTCAGTCTCGCTATCCATTCTCAATATTTGTGGGTTTTTTTATTCACTTTATTTTGTTTCCTCCCCAGAGATGCTGTCCCTGAAGAAACACTTCACAGAGGGCCTGATCCAGTTCACCATATTGCTCAATCTCACTGTCCATCCCCAGACTTTGTTTTTTATTCACTGTATTTTGTTTCCCTCCCCAGAGATGCTGTCCCTGAAGAAGTACTTCCAGTTCACCATCCTGCTCAGTCTTGTTTCCCATCCCCAACCTTTGTTTTTTATTTGCTTTATTTTGTTTCCTCCCCAGCGATGCTGTCCCTGAAGAAGTACTTCCAGTTCACCATCCTGCTCAGTGTCACTATCCATTCTCAATATTTGTGGGTTTTTTTATTCACTGTATTTTGTTTCCTCCCCAGAGATGCTGTCCCTGAAGAAGTACTTCACGGA